GTCCATAAATAATTAAAAATGTTAATTTCAATTATTTATAGCCATATGAGATCATTTATAGGTACCACAGCACATGGTTTATTAAGGCGAAAAATGTACATAAAAATTCACACGAATAATACTATTAGGTTACTAAGATCCAGTTCTGATTGTAAAATGGCGTTTTTCCCTAATTGATTGTACAAAAGATCTGTCTTTAAATTCTTAAATTCTATGCAAATCGCATTCTTACGATTCTCTCACAATTTATGATCACGATAATTCGAAAGTAATTGTACCTACAACAATGAAAATCCGTGATATACATTATATTGAAGTCACCCTGAATATGTATCTTATTTCTTTAAATATATTACCCCACATATCCGATAACGATTACATGTTATTTAAACGTTCTTATATGTGAGATACGACATTTTTCAAGGAGATATACTTGAAAATTTTTAAGGCTATCTGCGCGACACCCCGAGACTGTATCGCTGTGATAAAAAGTAGATCCCAACCTCGCCTCCTTCCCGAGTTGAGGCCCAGACGTAACTCGGTGCAACAGGTATCGCGGCAAGGGCTGCCGATTGATCGCGATTCCCACGAATGCGCCGCTGCCAGAAAGCCCGTGCGGCCGGAGAGCCGACGGAATTCTCGGCGGATGCGCGAATATAATCGGCCGGCGCGGAAATTGTCGGTTCCACGGCGGCGCGGCGCGGCGCGGCGCGCTCGCTAAAAATGATTAATAAATACGACTCCGGGGACTGTCGATCGGTCCGGGTGGACCCCGCGTGTGTGCGTGCGTGCGTGTGCGTAAGCGGGCCCCGGTATTTTGTCAGAGACGTGCACTTATCCCATCATGCACGCCGCCCTTTCGTTTCTGCCTTTTTCCCTACGGTTTCCTCGCGCTCTATCGTTCCACCTACCCGCTCCTCCCTCTTGCCGTATACAGGCGGGCGCGCGCGCGCACACACACGCGCGTACACATATGCACGCACACGCACATGCGTTTTAAGTACACGCAAAAGCTGTGTTTATCATTCCACGGCAGCCTTCTTTCCAACTTCCTCCCTCCCTTCTCGCCCATTATCCGCTCGTCCGATGATTCTACCTTATTACCTGCAATGTAACGTGCATCTACGGGGCGAGGGTGCAGTCATTGACAAAAAACTGTGGGGAATTAAGGCAACGCGCGCAAGTAATTTTTCCACGACTTGGAAAATTATTTAAGTAGGAAGATTCGCGTATTTTGCACGATATCATGACGTTGTGAAACGAATATTTGAGCCTTTCTTTCTTATAATTCAATTTAAGAACATTAAATAACGATTGAAATATTAATTAATCTCTTGCAAAATAAATTTTTTTTCTTTTTATTTAACATGTTTGTATTACTGGTCATCTACAAAACATAATTTCTTAGTTTTACAATTCATAGAGTACAAAAATAAATTTTAACAGCTGGCATTCTAAAACACCAACTATTTTTTCACATCAGGCTGAATCCAGTCCAAGCAAGCGAGCGCGAACAAACATGAACGAACAACTTGCATATCAGCGGCGTCGTTCGTATTTATTTACGCTTGCTTGCTTAATTGATCTGGATTTGGTTTTAAATTTGGTTTAAAATACAAAGAGAGGTAAAAAATAATACAATAACTGCTGACAAGATTTTTTCCAACAAAGTGTTATACGACTGCAAGGTGTAACGTCGAAAAAAGCCAATTTCAACGGATTAGAAGCGTTTTGCGAAGCGTTAGGGACCTATTAATCAAAGGTGCGCTTTTCTGTAAGCGGCTGATCAAGCATATGGCTTCCTATAAATTTCGCACAGCGAAAAAGGACTATCTTGAGAGAGTTGAATCATCATACGCGCACATACACACACCACACGCACACACGCGATACTCCGGCCGAATGATTATAATAAATTCGATCGCAGCGTGTGAGCGGCGAGAGAGATGCTGCCATAGTTGCAGGCATAGACGTACGTTACACTACGAATCGCAACCGACATGCAGTGGGTCAATTCGATTCCGCCTTTAATGACTACTCGAGTGATGGGGGGAAACGGAGGGAAGAGCCTTTTAATAACCCTTTCCCTTGAACCCCGCTCGATCGGAGGTCCGAAAGTCGCGGCAAGGTTAAGTACTTGCACTCCGCTGCTCGTCGGATGCCCCTTCTTCCGGTTTCGAACGGGGCAGCAGATCGCCGCCGATTACGATAATTAACTTCTTTCCTCGTCGACAAATTTGCGAGACGCATTTCCCGAATTTTCGGAGGGAAAGTCCTCGCGAGGAAGCTCGAGCTCAGAATCTCGACAACGCTTAGAAACCTGATTGAACGATCAAGTCAGATAAATTTATCAGAGATTCAGAAATAATTAACTGACAGAACTCCCATAAATGACTTCCACAATTTTCAAGACAATTTTAAAGCGCATATTGTCCCCTAACGAGTAAAGTTTAAGACGAGGAAGTTGTACAAGACAATTTAAGTTTTTGATAGCTCGTATATAAAGACGTTAATAATAATAATAATAAATCTAAATTTCTGTATCGCGCACGAAAATTGTATAAATAGATTTTATAAGGCTCAAGAGATTTTATAAGGCCGGACGAGGGTAATGAAGTTTTCCTTTTGTTTCCTCTCGGTGACCGCGAAAGCAGGAGAAGAAAAGAAAAAGAGGCACGCGGAGGGACAGAACCAAAGGATGGCCACTGGATAATTTCACGACGACGAACGTACTGCATATGCAAGTGCCATTGCAGTGTCACGACACGACGACTGGTTACGTTTGCCATTGTATACGTCGGCGCGTACACTGTCCTCGAAAAGTCTGATATACATCCCGTGAAAGCTCACATATTGGCGGGTGTTACTTTCTGGAAAAACTGCGGTCGCACGCGAAACTCGCGAATATAAAAAAATATGTAGAAAATGATTCGAAAGTCTTCTACTCGTAAAATTTCTTGTTATTTCGCTGCTAGGAATTACTCCGCACCCGTTGCCAATGTCTGAAAACTTTTCGGCGATAGTATACGCCGAAAGTGTATACAAGACGTATGTCTCACAAGTTGACGATGCAGTCCGTTGCTTATTTTTATCTCACTACTCGCACGCGCCGCAAATTTTTTTGCCATTTGAGCATATACGTGATTTACGATCAGGAAGGATAGATGTCTCGCAAGCAAAATAGCAGAAGCAACGATTCTTCGTTAAAGCGATGCTGAAGTGGAATTACATTTTTTTCTGTCAATTCGTCCTCGCGCGATTGCATAACGTATCGTAAAGATATTTTGACTTTTAAATCGCATTTGGATTAATTGCGATCGGAGTTCCAAACAATTTTATCGTTTAAAGTTTAATACGAGATTGTCAGGTTAAAAATAAATCTCGGCACTTCAAATACGAATTAAACAAAATTTGAACGATTAATATTATAAATAAATTCAAAAGAAGCTGCAGGTTTTTAATTATTTATTTTTATTACATCGTTTTTAATGATTATAACTGACGTGTAGAGATTGTTACAATTTAAATCCTACCAAGTTCCAAGAAAGGTGACCAAAAAGCATTTATTGTAGATTCAACGAGGAAGAAATTGCGACCGTTTAAGAAGCCCTCCCCATTAAATTTCAGAGACACAAATCCATTCAAGTTACTTTGCCATATGCTGTAGCTTACATTTCATAATTTTTTTACATAAGGCAGTCTCGTTTTTGTCTTAAAACAGCAGTAATTTCCAATTCTTCATAACATTGACGCATATACAACACATCTAACTCTCCAAGACGTAAAAATCTAAATCGAAGTCTCAATCCAAGCCGTTTATCGCTACGCAATGTACATACACGCGTTATATCTTTTTCCGTTAATGTAAAACACATTTTCTGGTGTCTCGAGCCGCTTCGGAGATGCGCTCGCTCGCTTATGCTTTCCGCGAAATCGAATCCACGAGTATAACTCCTCCCCTCGGTGCTCTCCCTGCCTTCGCAAAAACGCGTCTTATAATAAAAGCAGTTCTTTCTTCCCATATAAAACCAGTCATTACTTCCCCAACACCAGCTCATTTTCGACATCACTGCGATGCCGTTGCATATTCAGATGCGCGAGCGAGCGAGACCGCGACGGTACTATAAGTGCTTAAACGCCGTAAAAACGCGTTATCGTGGGCGATTGAGAAAAATACCGGACCGATCGATTGCGAAATTACAGCAATCTATATATATTTAAATCGTTCTCGATAAAATTAAGTTAAATAAAAGCGGAACGGAAGTCCACAACTCTTGATAAAGACGTAAAAATTATATCGGATTATGCGATAAAGCGCAAAATTGAGATTGTTTAAAAGTTCGCTAGAAACTGTAGGTGATGTGTTACAATCTAACTTCAGCCCCTCCGCGCTTCTATTTCTCACAATGTTCGTTCGACCTTCTCCTAAATAATAGCTTCTAAACAATAGCACGATCACATTGGACGTGATGTCTCTCGTTTGCTATTATTTAGAAGTGACTAATGCCCATTTCTACCAAACCAATGTAGAGCTCGTTTAAATTACTTTTTATGTTCCTCTAATTCTTGGAACTAGAAAAGGCTAAAAACTATGTTAAACCGAGATTAAAGTTAATCTACGTTGATAGAAATGGACATACCAAGAGGAGTGCGAATAGACAGCTGAAACCAACACAATTCTGGGCTAAAGTTTGATCATAATACATATAAAGTTAACAATAAGAAATGAATCGCTCCACTTTACATTTTTGCACGACAAGATATCAAGATACAATAGCAACGTGTGTTTTTAATGTGAATCTCTTTCGATCGTCGCGATAACTCTTTTTCGCTCTTTCTAGCATTTGGCCACGCAACTCGCTGGTACTTTCGCGGCTTGGACGAAGTTTCAAGTGTACAAACAGCCGAGCAAGATTCAAGACGTCGAACGGCGAGGCGAAAGGATTACGGGCCGCGTCGAGAGAAGAAAGAAGATGAGATGAGCAAAAGGACGGACTCACCAGCAGCGAAGTCGTGCGCTCCAAACGTCAGATTCCAAGGTTCCGTAGCGCCAAACTCCCTCAGCGTGGCGCGGCGTGGAGCGGCGTGGTCTGGCGCAGCGGCGTGGCGCGGGACGAGACGGGACGGGACGGGACGGTGGGAGGCGCGGGTGGGACAGGGCCGATGCACCCGCGGGGAGAGACTGCGAGAGGCGGCGGCGGGCTGTTGTAAAATGCAGTTACGCAACACGCAACTGGTGGTGCACACGCGACCGCGGCGCCCGATCGAAGGCAAAAACGTCAGTGTCGCGACGGACGTCACCGTCGTGCCGTGCGATCGCCGTCGTTGTCTGCGAGTGTGCGATTATCGAGCGAAACCGCGACGGGAAGGTGACGACCACGCGGACTCCGAGCGCGCGGCAGGGGAAGAGAGAGAGAGAGAGAGAGAGAAAAAGAGAAAGAAAGGATGACAGATCGGAGCGACCACGCGAGAGAGAGACAGGCTCGCGTCTTCGAAGGAGAAAGAGAGAGAGAAAGAGAAATAGATAGAGGCGAAGAGAGATACGCGCGAGGCGTGATCGCGCTGGGGCGTCACTCACGAAGCACCGCTTTCACGCGCCGCGAGAGTAGGGCGCTGCTCCGGCCTGACAGCCGTGGAAAAAAAATAGGTAAAATCCACAAACCCCGGCGTAGCAACGTTCGCTCGCTCGGTCCCGGCTCTGCGCACTGTCCGAGCGCGTCTACGTTCACTTCGCTTCTAGGAGCGAGGCTCCGCGAGTTTCGCGTTCGCGCGACTTCGGCCGCGCTCGGCTCGCCGGTGCCGCGCTCTCGCGATTATGCGCGCACTTCACTTCGCCGCGCTCTCTCAGGCCTCTCGCGCCTGAAGTTAGCCGAATGTGTCGCGTTATCGTTCGCGCGGCGCACGAAAAAATAGAGAGAGATGCTCCTCGCGCACGTTCTCATTCTCGCGCCCGAAAACTTTCTCTTTTTCTATGCTTTCCTTATGCAAATAATCCTAAATTTTTGTATGTTCGGCGGACGATAATGTATGTACGTACTAACATGTGTAAATGTGTGTCATGTAAATTTATATACACGTGCATTATTGCACATGAGCGAGATTTCGGATTTAACAGTATAGTGCTGCCATCTCGAGAAAGTCGATCGACTAACTTGCAATGTTTACATTCCGTAAACCGTCGATACAGATTACAACGATAGATCCCTGTCTTCGTCCGAATATTTATCACGAACATTCAAATTCGCTTGAACCGGCAATTCTTACTAATTTAATGAATATATTTACGCGATCTGCCGTGTTTTGCGTTCTGATCTCGCAAAAATGGTCGCGTTCAGCAGACCAAGTCGTTCAGTAGCAGTCGAACGTGATGAGTGGCTCTTACTTTTAGAACCAACCAATCAACGCGGAGTGTTGATAAGACGAACTCAACATATGTGTCTGCTGAACGCGGCCAATGCAATTTTTCTTCTTTGTAAAATGTAGGAAGCAAATCTCGTTGAATTCACGCAGCTCTTTCAATGCTGTTATTATTTACCCGATATCGCTCACCGGAAGACTATCTTAATCTTTCGGACCAATCTTTGCACAAACATCCAGCGAACCAGCGATACAGCCGTGGACTGCGCATTTGTCGATTCTTTTTTCAGTGTCTCCCTCGATCATCCGAAATTTGATAAGCCAGGCGTTATTCAGACAGATAAACGAGACTCCCGGATCGCATTTCCATGAGCTACGAAAATATCGGGCCCTAAGCGTTGAACTCACCATGCGGCGACCGACTTGGTGATCTCGCCGAGCGAGCTTTCGGCGTGGATTTTTGGCGTTCAAGTCACTGATCGGTCGTGATCGGGCACGAGGTTCTCGCTTATCGCGGCGTTGCGACGCGATGTCCTCGAGATCGCCGCGATAGCAGACGCGCGAAACAACAGTTCTCTCGTACAGTCTAATCGCGGAACGAACGGTCGTTTAATGATTCATTACTTCGAGAATAATCTGACGATTGCACGTTAGTGCTGGTCTACAACCTTGCTTTAAAGGGTATTTAAACTCTAAGCCGTAAGAAATTGACCAATCACAATCGAGTATTCTCCTCACATTTCATTGTGATTGGTAAATTTCTTACGGCTGAGCTTAAATACATATATCCTTTAAAGCAAGGTTGTAGACCAGCACTTACGAGTATCGCACTAAAAAAAAATAATCTCGCAAAAAATAATCGAATATAATAATCTCTTCCCCTTCTCCTCCTCGTTTAGCTTCACATTAAATATAGGAAGTGACAAAACGTGATTACGAAGAGCAAATAATAAAGATAGAAACAACGATGATAAGATAAGCGAAGTCTAAAAGCGGATTACTGATCGCTCCGACTCAAGGAAAAGTAGGTCGGCAAACTTGGAGCAAAATGACGCGAGAGTCATTAGCGCTGATCACGAGGGGAACGGTTACGGTCCCACATGCATGTCCCACACGCAATGAAACTCGCATCGGCCATTTAAAAGCTCGACAAAGTGAGTCATCGCGATAACTGATGAGCGCCGCTAATGCGATATATCGAGCTCGACGGCGTTCCTCGTTCGCCCAAGCTGATATGCGCTCACTTTTTCGCGACCGTGGGCCGCTCTTCTAGAGCGTAATTACGATGTTTTATTGTAAAATTGTAGGCCTTTTTTGCGCCCCTGAGTCATCACCGAGTAGCAGGACGACTTTGGCCAAACTCCGATTAACTTAACCGCGATTAACTTGTTTATAGTGGTATATTCATGTAATATTTCGTTAACGCGTGGATAGAATTATCAATATTTTTGTCGTCTAGGAAATGAGAGGAAAGATTAGATTAGGAAGAGTTTATTTTTAATATTTTGCCGCAAGCAATTCTGCTAGCTAAGGGCGAGCTCAAACTCCGATTAATTTAATTGGCAACTCACTCAACCAGTAGAGCTGCTTACGGCAACATTTATAGCTATACATAATTCGTCCCTAATTCGACTTGATCAAAAACAAAAAATTGGTAATTATATTCACTAAATATTGCTTACGTTAACGTCGTAATTAAGTCAATCCGAAAGCAGAAAGTTCGAAATACAGCCAAAATTATCCTAAATTAATAGCCGATTAAATTAGTCGAAACGTCGATAAATCTTCGAAATTCGTCTGTATCTGAAGAACGAGATCGTGCGATCGAAAATATTGCGACTGATAGGAATCTAAAATGTGTCCATCGACGATGCTTATGTGCTCCAAAGGGGTCCTTGAACTCCACTCGAAGATGCTTTCACAGTGATAACGACGATAACGAATACATTTTAAAAGGTTTGACTATGATACCTTATTATTTACCTTTATTTTAGTTTTTATCAATCACTTTGTATCAAGCGCGCGATACTTGATACGTGTTATCCACGAAAAAGCTCTTTTACTTATTCTCATCGTTAATATAAACACGTCTAACTCTGTATCTTCTCTGTAAACCGTTTTTGTCGAATGTTTTCGGGCGAGACGGAGGAATAACTTCAGCGAGGATCGTGCTGATGGAAGGGCAAGAAAGTTATTTCTCAAGGAATTTGCCACCTATAGCCCTTCGTTAGCTCAACCTGCGGTCAAAGTGGAAAATAAGAAGATTATTCCCAAACTGTCTTAGAAAATTAGTAGGTTTCTCTAAAATGGAAATTATAGAACGGACAGGGTTTAGGATATGAAATCCCCAATAACGATCGACGTATCCTCGATTATCAAAAGTAAAGAAAGGAGAGAAAAAGGGAGAAAGTGAAGATTCAAATGGGACTCTTTGTTATATTTAAAAAAAAAGATACAGCTAATAGAAACAGGCCTATTTGGCATATTTATACATGTACAGTTACGCTTTTCATAATGCTAATAGCAGTGCTACATGGAGGCGTGTGCAATTATATCCCGTAAGATCTAACAATAAAATATATATAACTTTCAAAATAATGATTAAACTTAACCCTTTAGAGGTGAGTATTTTAAACGAGCCTTATTACGCAGAATGCAAAACAGGAAAAATGAACTATGCATGTAAACAAAAAATTTTAGATTAATTGGAATACAGAATTGGAATTTTTTAATAAAAATTCAAAGTTTATTTTATTATTGAAATGTGATATTATGACAGCAAAGTATACTGTAGCTCATCTGCTACGCCCGTTCTTAAAGGGTTAAACCAAATTGAAGGGTTAAAATACAAGGGGATGGGGCTGGATAGGGCTGCTTTACGCGAAAATGCCTCGTCGCGCCATCGGACGTCACGTGGCCGTACTATCGACCGTTACCGCGGCAACTTCACCCCCCTCGAGCTCCGCCGGGCTGGCGGACTCGTCGGCGCGTCCCGTGCCGCGTGCGCCGCGCGTTCACAGCTCGGCTCCGCTTGTCAGCTCAGCTCGGCGCCGCGGAGCTTGAGGCTTGAGGCGCATCGAAGATGGCGACCGGAGGGTAGGGTCGGGCCGGAGACGCGACGCGACGCGCACCGCGAGGCAACCCAAGTGGAGAGACGGCCGTGGAGTGGTCGGGGCGAGCCGCGCGCTCGGATCGAGTCCGGGTGAGCACTGTGAGTAGCCGAGCCGCGTTCGCGGAAACCAGTCGCGGTTGTGTGTCGTATCACGTGTGCTGCGCCTCGCACCTGTCGGCGGCGACGATGACGGCGGCGGCGGGTAACTAAACCATCGGCGCGATCGACGAAATCACGCGCGCGATCCCCTTCAATCCCCTTCGCGTGGGCTTTCGGTAAGTTCAATGCGCACAGATCCGTGCCACGGCGAGAAACGGGAGCGACACGCGCGTGTGAGTGCCGCGCGCGACGTGACGCGACGCGACGTGTATACGTGCGTGCGTGCGTGCGTGCGTGTGCGTCGCACACGCTCGAGGAGCCCTAATCTATACTAGAGAGGTGGAAGATCGGAGAAGGTTGCTCGCGTTACTGAATCGCAAGCTGCGCCGAGGAGCAAGGAGAAAAACGTCCAAGATCGGACGCGGGAATGAAAATTAGAAAGCCAAGGAACAATAATTCGCGAAGCATTGGTTTAAAAACGGACTTTGTCTCGCTCTCGATCGCACGTGTTGTTATCTCGTGTTATTATTTTTTTTCCATAAAAAGTAGAATGAACTGATACTGAAAGCAACATTTCTTAATTCTCGGATTAATTACTTTGCTATCTGTTTGTGAATTCTGTTCTATGTTTAAGTAAACAAATTCCTAAGTGTATCGTCAATTAACTGACAAAGTTAAAATAACTGATTGCAATTTTTTTTTCAATAACGATAGATTTTCTGAGTTTCCAATGATTAAATCGATCAATTTACTCTCCTCTTCATTTTTTTTTATATAAATGACATATTTAAATAGAAGCAGATATGCGTTGATCACCGGTAGTTTAAGTGTTGAAACACCCCAATGTTGCGAGTAAATTGTTAAACGCAATTCTTTATAATCCGAACTTTCGCGAGGAGTCATTCTTGACGTCATCTCGAGTTATCTCTCGAGCGCGATGCGAATATGCGATTTCGTTAACGAAGCATCTAGCCGGCGCTTTATATTTCTCGTTAGCCGCGCCTCCGCTCCTCAAGTTGCTCCACTTTTTTCCGCCCGCAAGCATCACGCGCTCGTCGCACGCCGCACGCCGTCGCGCCGGCGGCCGTCAGGCGATGGTGACAAAAATTGATCGGTGCGGTTAGCAGATCGGGTCACGTAAACGCCAAGCGAGCTTTCAATCGCGCGATGTAAATGCCTTCCGCGATCAATGACCCCGCGTACTCGTATACAAGGTGTCCCGCCGTCAATCGTGTGAAATTTTAATGGACCTTTAACGCGTTCGCACGCTCCGTTTCCGCGCGGTGGGGAAACTTTGAAAAGAAGTTCACCTTACCTTCGAGACGCCTCAAGAGTTTTGTCGAATGCGAGAGAGTCGTCGCCGATTAAGCTTCAAGAGCTTAAAGAATTTACTCGTGCCATAAGATGTATTTTTTTTCGTGTAATTTGCTTCGTGTAATATCGACAATCGATGATATATCACATTGAAATCGAATCAGTTGGCAAAATCATTCAATTAGTAAGATAATCTGTCAATTATAATTTCGTTGCTACTAATTTGACACCTTGTATATGAATATGCAGAGACATTGCCATCATTTATTCTTATCGCAATTATGTTCTTTTTATCATAAAAAATACATATATCAAAAAATACTTAATAGGTAGGATTACCCTCAATTTTCATTTCATCCATTAAAATGAAATAAACAAGAAATAATTATATAATGTTTCTCAGCATATTACATTACTTAAAATTTAATTAATTTTGGTGCATATATCGATCATTATTAAATATTTAAAAATACCATGATATTCGCCTGTTTTAGAAATATCAATATAATTCCAATATTAGTAGAAATTTTTTTCAAAATTTAAATTGTAAAAGAAACTTACAATTAATATTTTTTATTTGCAGTACTAACTATTAGAAAGTTTTGTTTATAATAATGGTAAATAACTAATCAAGATGTGTAATATCTAAGTAACACTAATCAGATAAGCATCTGTGTGTGTCGTAATTCTTAATGCTTACTTCGCCGTAACATCTCTCGTTTACGCTCGTTTATCATCTAACATCCGTAAATGTAAATGAGGCTGGTAATTGTCGATGGGCTCCCGCAATTTAATATCTACCGAATAATGTTGATTGGAATTAGCGAAGAATTGCCTCCGGTGTCTCTAATTTCTTTCAGATCTGGTGGCGGGTTTCCTCCGGTTTTCCGCTAATTCAGGATTCCGTCGGGACGGCTAAAACACTAACCCACACACAATTCGCACGTTCTTCACCTGTGTCGATAAATAGCGATTAACGCGCGCGTAAACGTACTCGCTCGCTCGTCAACGTCTAGTCAAAGGGATAGAGGAAAAAAAAACCGGAAAGAAAGAAGAAATGAATCGGCGAAGAAGGAAACCGTGAACGCTCCGATCGAGATAAGGGTCGACACATGCGAGAAACCGTAGCCAAGCAGCCAAAGTGTGTAAATATAGAAACAAGATAACTAGGCTGATTCAGAGGGATCTCCTCGACGGTCATCCTCCTCGCCGCCGGTGATATCGTACCAAAGAAAGAAAAAATTCGATCCCGTATCAAGTTCCTCCATGTTCCAACGAGATCGATATGTTCGGAGTAAAGAAGCGCAGAAGCGAGCGATCACTCGAGATTGAATCGTGAAGCTTTCGTCAACGTCGAATAAATTAGATAAGATAGACGAGAATCGCGAGGGAACTTAATCGAAGTAAGTGCCATTCGAGTATTAGAGATTAATTCAAGCGCGACAAATTAAACGCGAAGCATGTTACGCAGGTGGACGGCTTTTTGAAAAACGATCGGCGGAAGTGTCACGAAACGTGAATCCGAGGCTATCGATCTTCGTAGGCGAGAAGGTAGTATCGACGACGCGACGACACGAAAATTGTGACGAGCTGGTCGAGTTCTCTGGTAACATCGATGCAGTGCTGGCTGGCACGAGTCAGCGTTTCCAATTCAGCGGTCACAGAGAGCGACATGCACGAGAAGACTCCCTTTCGTTGAAAAAAAAAAACCTTTCGCGATTTATCATAGTCTTCGCACAAATCGATGGCGCTGAAAGGAAACACTCTTATTTTCTGTAGACCGTTCGATCGTCGCTCCGTTAAGAAATAGAAAAATGCTGGCGTTGTCAAAGGAATGAAATCCTCAAAGAATTTCGCTGATCTTCGATGCTTTTTTTTTCTTACGTTTATGAAACAGATTTCATATAACGATGTAATTAATACGTAGCAAAAGTAATACCTCATTATCGAAAAAGTTACTAATTGAAACTAGGGTTAGTCGTGGATAATATACACAGAGACAATATCATCTAAAGAAGCGTATGTTGTGGAGATTCAAATGCCGCTTGCTTTTTCAAATTAATGAGAACCAAAGACGGGATAAGTTGCGGACTTTCTATTCGGGACCCCCGGAAACGAATTAGCATCGAAATAAAACAAACGGTAAGTGTTGTGCCCAGGCAAACAGCAGAAAAGGGTGAGAGGTCACAGACGGCATCAGGAAGGAAGGAAGGAAGGAAGGAAGACAGGAAACAAGAAAGAAAGAAAAGAAGGAAGGAAGGGTTGGCGATAGTCGCTTGGAAGCAGGCCGAGGACCCGTCTGGAAAAACGCGGAAAGGGCGACGGTGTCGTGGAAGCGAGGGGGTTCAACGTGCGCGGGGGAGAAAGAGAGGAAGAGGAGCCCCGGTTATCGTCGGGAGGGGTGTGCATCGGGGCTGATATCGACCGAGGATTGCGCTTGCGTGGAAAAAGGCGCGAGCGCAATCGTGCGGTCGTTCCCGAGAGAGAGAGAGCAACGGCGCCCTCCGCGTCGAAAGAGGAAGAGCCCTCCCGTTCCCCGTCGTCAGTCGATCGTCGCGTCGACGAGGAACCGGCCGCCGTCGCCGCGACCGTCCGGGGAAGACTTCCGGTGTTCTCCTGGCAGAACCGGCAGAGGCCGGGTGCACGACACGGTGATTCCAACGCCCGCACTGGCCCGCACTTCCGGGAGCGAGCTGCCCGGGTGCGACCTCGCGGAGAGCTCGACTCCGCTCGGCATCGCGTAGCATAGGATCGTCATCGTCGTCGCCGGGGGACGGGGAAAAACCAGCGCGGGCGGTCCGAGGCGGAGAGGGGCACAGGCCGAGGTATATCGGGACGATAAGAGCGCGATAAGCGGGCCGCGCTTTATAAACGCCTATGCGTGCGCGCACCTCTTCTCCTCTCCTCTCCGTCTCTCTTGCTCCCTTGTTCTCTCCGACCTCATCGCCGTCACGCTGATAAAAGACGAATCTGGAGATTTCCTCGAGAAAGACCGCGCCGCTACCAGTTCGGAACTGGCGATGCCTCGTGGCGGTCATTAGGGCATTGCGACGAACGGCGATTCCTAAGATTCGGATACGGTGGACTTCCTCAAATCTCTCGTTCCGTCGCTGATAACGATCGGGGTCACGGTCGCGTCCCGCGTTCCGCGTTCGATCGCCGTGTTCGGAACGTGAAGCGACATCGATGCCTGACTGGCGATTTCATTCGTTTTGATTTGGAGTTGTCGTGAAGCGTATGGGTAATAAACGGGTAAAAAATAAAACGGACTGAACAATTGTGATCAATAGAGAATCTACATGTCGCACGATGTCGAGTGTCGTATCCGTCGACGAGCACGGTTCTTCGGGGTAGCAACGCGTGCTTATAAATTTGACCGGAGGGGGGGAACGATGATCGATGTGAGTTATTTCAAGACGGGCGATCGACACGGTATGCTGAGATAATCAAAGTCGAGCGTCGAAGTCTCTCGGCGTTATCAGAGTCTGGGCTGAATAGAAGCCTATCGGCACGGCGCGATGATTAGCATGCAGGACTATTTTGAACAGCTAATCTTGAACAATCTAACTGGATCCGAGCAACCGCAGGAGGAAGTTCAGCTGACCGAATTGCGGCCGGTGAAGCAATCGTGTATCAGAGAAAATGTCAAGGATACGGACGCGACCGACGCTCTGAGGGCGCTCAGGAGTCTTTCGGGCGACTGCGACGATGGCGAGAGCATTGATCAGCGAGAGTTCAATTCCTGCAAGAGCGTCGAGCAATCGGAATACCAGGGTGGCAGGCTTCAACGAGTGGAGGCTCATCGGAAAAAAACGGAAGACATCAGGAACAATGGTAAAATCGGTAATGAGGTGACGGTAGAGCTAGTATGTAATGACGAGAAGATCGCTCACGTGAAAGCACCGAGGAGGAAGCTGGTGAAGTCGAGCAAGAAAGACCGAGAGAAGCCAGATGATATTACTGAAAGAGATGGTGTTACTGAAAAAGAGAATCCCGAAAAGGAGCTCAGATTAAGGATCGACGCCATCATTCAAGCGAATTACTTACTGGAGCGCGAGAACGTTGTCGAGGAACTCGAAATTGTGGAGCATACTGACAGTCCCTCCGCTGCCGCCTCGACAAAAGCCTCTGCGAAAAACGCAGAGAATAGCGATAGCTCCGTGTGTAATTCGGTGGAAGAAGAGGAGACGACGAGGAAGACGAGGAATCGGACCTATAAGATCAGACAGGATATACAGAAGAAGTATTTCTGCATCATATGCGACGCGCGCTTCAAAGGTAGCGGTGGTCTGCGAAATCACTACAAAGTGGTGCACGACACTGGACCGGTGTTCAAGTGCCACGACTGCGGCAAGGAGTTTAAGCTGAAGGAGCGATTGAAGCTGCACGTGCGCATGCACACCGGCTTCAAGCCGTACAAGTGTTCGGACTGCGACAAGGCGTTCGCGCGGGGTGGCCAGCTGTTGCAACATCGTCGCACGCACACCCAGGTCAGACCGTTCCACTGCGAGCTGTGCTCCACCACCTTCACGTGCATGGCCAATCTGTCGCTACATCTGAAACGTCACACCGGCCAAAAGGATCACAAGTGCGACCTGTGCGGACGCGCCTTCGTGCGTCGCGACGCCCTGAAGAAACATCTGGAGTGCCTGCACCGCGACGTCAAGTCCTTCCTCTGCGGGATCTGCAACAAGACCTTCAAGGGTCACCTGCCGCAGCACATGAGGACACACGCGAAGGACCGTCCGCACGGCTGTGCCACGTGCGGTCAGCGATTCGCCCAGAAGTCCCAGCTGACCGTACACCAGAGGACCCATTCCGGCCAGCGACCATTTCGCTGCCTGGTCTGCTGGCAGGCCTTCGCTCATTCGACCGCCCTGAAGCTGCACACCCGACGACACACCGGAGAACGGCCGTTCAAGTGTACCGACTGCAATACCGGTTTCACTCAACTGCCACATTGGAAGAAGCATATGAAGTGCGTACACGGCAGAGACAATCCGTATGGCTGCAAGCGTTGCAAGAACTTTTTCAGAATTAAGAGCGATCTGGAGAACCACGAGAAGACTTGCCATCCAGAGGCAGAGGAGGAGGATGACGATGGCAACGTTTCCAGTAAACCGGCCGGCGGCTCCGAGATCGTCGAGAAGACCTCTGTCACCGCGAAGTACAAGATGATGACGGTGGAGAAGATGCGGCTGCTGCTGGCGGTCCTCCTGAAGAGGATCAGTAGGCAGGAACGGTTGGACGAGCTCGGCTTCGGCAAACGTCTCATCGACGACGTTCTTCAGGACTCCCTGGTGTCGGCTGGCAAGGAACCGGTCACGGGGAGCGGCTTGTCCGAACTTGAGGCTCTCACCCGGAATCTAGAAATCTTCCTGGAATGGACAGTGCCGAAGGAGCACTTGGAGACTTTCCGCAAAATGAAAAAGTCACCCGAAGATATTTTGGAGACGCTCACAGCTACGTAAACACGTTCATCCATTAACAATAGCTTTATTATCTTCCTCTCGACGTGAAGATTAGAAGAGTGAAATGAAATCGATATAGCATAATGTCATCTCGCGCACGTTTGTTCGAATGACAGCAAGTTTTTCTGCACTCGGTCTTAGCTTAACCAAAATTTGCATCAAAATTTAAATATTTTGTCCGAATTCTTTTTTTTTCTAATACTTTAATTTTTCATCCAATATCATATGCGACTTTTATCTGTGTAAACTTTTATGTCTTTTTCTTTTCTTTTACATTTATAATTTATGATTTATCGCAAAAATCTTTTAGGGAGTGAAATAGAATGCCGGAAACTGCAACTGGCATGACCGCGGTCATGATATGATCTCTGCATCCATTATGCTCAATAATGATAGACTAATAACGATTTTCGAGAGAATTCCAGAGAATTATTGAGTCATTTTTAATCGCATTAATCAGCCGACGATAAAACGATCGAAGTTTTCCGTGTGTGATATCTAATCTATCAGACGAATGTTAATTTCTGTGGTGCCATGTGTCATAATACTTGCCATACTAAAGTATAGAAATACCAGTGAGTACACCGTATGATTTAGGGAAGCTAAGTAAAATCCTTTTATTGTAGCGTAAGGTAAATCGCATCGGAGTAGAACATGTATTGTCAAGTTAAATTAGCGAAAGCCAAAAGGACGTTTCTCAAACGACAGAAGCAAACCGCCGTGCTTCTTCGACAACTGAGATAGAGTTAGACGTTCTCTTGCCATATCTGTTAAAAACATGCATGCACACTGGCGAGAGAGTAGGATCATTTTAGTACATAATATTACTCTAATTGTAAGCACGACTGTTCGTATACCAAAAAGAAAACCAGAAACGAGGCTAGCACGAGTCATTCGCAATTACGTTCTTTCACGCGCAATCGTTACATTATCCTATATATTTATAAAGATATATACGTCTATATATACATATCTATTATATATATACACACATTTATAAATTGAATATTATGAGATTTTGTTATATATAAATGTGTTCACGGGCGCGTCCGGAAAACGGAGATTTCGACACATTCTTGCGCGACGTTCCCGTTGTAGTAATACTATTATTCGTTATTTATCTCATACGTGCACTCGCGCGCAACT